GCTTGTTTTTTTTTTTTTTTTTTTGCTAGTTTGGTATTCAGAATATAATAGGGCATTTTGATGAAAGCTTTGCTGAATTCTAAATAGATAATATCCGGAGCATTCCCACAGTCCAACAGCATTTGGGAGGTTGCAGTCAAAAAATGAAATTAGTTAGTCTGGCATTTCAGCCCATATTTTAAGAATTTATATAACACAGCACATTTTAACGGCATGATACTTTCTTCAGACCTAGAAAAGTCCTGCTTAAATCGATCAAACAATTCCAGGTACAAGATCATAGAATCATATAAGATCATAGAATCACATAATAGTAGAGTTGGAAGGGGCTATGAAGGCCATTGGGTCCAACCTGCTGCTGTTGCAGGACAATTTACAACATCACACTCAGATGGCTGTCCAGGTTCTTTTTGGATGTCTCTAGTGTAAGAGAGCCCATCACCTCTCTAGGCAGCTGGTTTGACTGACCCATTGCTCTGACAGCAAGGAAGCTTTTCCTGAAATCCAGTCTGGATCTGGGTTGTTGCAGCTTGACTTGATTATCTCATGTCTTATACTCTGGCATCAGCAAGAAGAGATCTTGACCTTCCTCTTTGTGATAGCCTTTGAGGTACTTATAGAGGGATATCATGTGCCTTCTCAGTCTTCTCTTCTCTAGACTGAACATGCCCAGTTCTCCCAGTCTTTCCTTATAGGGCAGTGTTTCCAAACCCAAGATCATTTTTATTTCCTTCCTCCAGAACCCTTCTAATTTACCTGCATCTTTCTTAATCTTGGTGCCCACAACTGGACACAGTATTCCAGGTGAGGTCTGACTAGTGAGGATTATAGAGGAACTACTACTTCTCATGATTTGGAAGTAATACTTCTGTGCACCCCAATGTTCAATTTTCCCTTTTGGTGGCTGCATTGCATTGTTGGCTCATGTTTAGACGATTGTCCACAATTATTCCAAGTTCTTTTTCTTTGTCAGTTCTGTTAAGCCACATATTCCCCATCTTGTATCGATGCCTTTGGTTTCTTTTCTTTAGGTGGGGGACTTGGCACTTGTGCTTATTGAATCTCATTCTGTTGGTTTCAGCCCAGTGTTCAAGCTTATCAAGATTGCCCTGGATCTTCATTCTGTCTTCTAGGGTGTTGCTATTTCACCCAGTTTTGTATCATCTGCAAATCTGATAATCCTTCAATGTACTTCCTCATCCAGATAAGTAATAATGATCACTTAACTTTTTCTGGAGCCACATGGACTTCCTCTGCTGTTTTCTACACCTTTTTCTTGATGGAATTGTTTGTGGTTGTGCTTGGAGAAGTTTCTTTTTCAGGCTTTCCCACCTCTCTTGGATTCCTTTTCCCTTAAGGGTCTGTTGCCATGACACTTCATTTATCGGTGTTCTGAGTTCATTAACGTTGGTTTTGTTGAAGTCCCAGATGCTTGTTTGGCTCCAGTTACCCTTTGTCTCCTTTACAATGGAGAATTCGAGTATCACATGGTCACTTTCCGGCACGGCCATCCATGTTAGTTAATATTAAACTAAGGATATATGATCCTTTTGTACTTTACTTTCTGCGGAAGAAAGTTGTCAGCAATGCATGTCAGGAATTTGTTGAAATGGCTATGCTTGGCAGAATTTGTCTCTCAGAATATATCAGAGAAATTGAAGTCGTCAATGATGACCACATCATTTTTCCTGGAAATACCAGCAAGTTGCTTTTCAAAGGTTGCATCCTTGTCTTCTTTTTGACTGGGTGGTTGCTAATAGGCACCAATAACTATGTTTTTCTTATGTTTTGTTCCCTTTAAATTGAGCCAGAGGCTTTCAATGGGACTACTAAGTTCCTGTTCTTGTATTTCTGTGCAGAGATATGTGCCTCTATCATATAGTGGAAATCCACCTCCCTTTTTGTCCTTTCTATTTTTCTTGAGCAGGTTGTATCCATCAATTGTAGAGTTCCAATCATGTGAGTCATCCCACCAAATTTCGATAATTGCCCTCATGTACTATTTTATTTATTTATTTTTTATTTAAAATTTTGAAGGCCTTCTCTGGATGGCTTACAACATTATTTCAGTCTTCAATAAAATAAGTTAACTATTCCACACTGAGCATTATTTAAAATAAATTAAATAAGTCTTACACAAGTAAAATTACTTTATGTTAAAGTATTGGCCAAATAAAAAGGTCTTGACCTGACGCCAAAAAACATATAATGATGGCACCAGGCGGATTTCTCTAGGGAGCACATTCCATAGTCTGGGTGCCACCACAGGGAAGGTCCTCCTCCAAGTACTCTGTCTCCTGACTGCTTTCAAAGAGGGTTCCCAGGGGAGGGCCTCTGCTGCTGATCTTATGAGCTCAAGTTCGTGTTGCTTGTTTCTCATACTCTAGGCATTGGTTTAGAGACACTGAAGTTCATTCTGGCTATGCCCTGGTTTTCTTCCTTCCAGGGAGACTGGTGTTGGGCCCTGCTTGAGATTTTTTTTTCTAAGTCTTTGTCTGGTGATAGTATGCCATGCTGCACATCTCCCTCCCCTATGTGTTTTATTTAAAAGCTCTCCTGATGAACTTTTCCATGTAGTGGCCAACTTAATCTGCTGCTTCAGCTTGCTGATGCTCTTCTTCCTTCCTTCTGGACTACACTTCTGTTGCAGCTCCTCCACTCTGTCTAACATTTGTTTTCCTTTAGTATATGGAGGGTGGCTACTCGCTGCTCCAGTGCTCTCATCTTTTCTAAAAGGGCTACTAATATGCAGCTGTTGGAGTCATTGCAGGCCACCACCACTGTGGAATCTCCTTGGTCTATTGTTTGTGCAACCGTAAGGAATCTGCCTTTGTGGAGGGCGGGGTGCTGTTGTGGCAACTGGTGCTTTCAATTGTCTTCAGTAAAGGTTAGCGACACAGTCCTACTAGTAAATGGGACTGTGTTACAAGGAAGAAAACAAATGTGTGTGGAAAATTAAGGTGAAATAACAAAGAGAAACAAATGGGGGGGGGAATGGGGTTTCACTGGTGACCTCAGAGATGGAGTTCAGTAAATATTCTGGGGGACAGAGAGAGGATGATACAGGTATATCCATGATGCAAACTATCCTGGTGGTACCTTAGCCTCCTTTCCTTCTTCTCTAAGGCAGGACATGTAGATGGCCCTAATCAACAATCAAAACATTTTGCAGGTAGAGAGAACTGCAGAGGCACAGAAAGCCCATAATCCTCCAAGGTCAGACGTTACAGACTGGAGTATGGCCATAAGTACTTTATAATATGAAAACATGTAAAAACAGCGAAAAATATCTAAAATGTAAAATATTTATTCATTTACAAGTAAATGTACCAAGGGCAATGAAACATAGCAGTTTTATATTCCAATATAACTTAGGGAAAGCTGACTAAATAACTACGTCTCCAAGAAGCATATAATTTTTTTTTCTCTCAAACCTCATTTAGAAGAGAATTCCAAAGGGTAGGTGGCACTATCAAGATCAGGGTCATGAAAAGTCAGTTGGAGCCTCCTTCCTGGTCTTTCCCCAACTGTCATGCACCTCACTACATCTGGCTCTAACTGCCAGTGTACACAGCAGCCTCATAGCTCAAATAAACACATACAAATGGGTCTCATTCACATATTAAAGTTCTTATGCACATGCATTCACAGGAACCTGAGAATCTTTAGCAATTAATATGAATGCACAGCTGTTGGGAGTATGGGATAGCACAAACACTGTACTTGAAAGTCTTCATAGATTCATGAGTGCGAAATGTATCATGAAAACCCCTACTATCATCTTGTATTACAGACAAGCAATACAGCAGTGAGAGTCTGAGATTTTCAGCCATTGTTTTATAAAGTTCCCTGGAGAAAATAATTTTGTGAAAATAAAAAGACTGTTGGGATGGCTATCAATATAAAGTGATTTGTTATGAAAATTATAGTTGAATGTCTTCAAAAGAAATGAAGTTAATGCAGTGTAAAAATGAAGTTAATGCAGTGTTAGCATTGATATGTCTATACTAGTATGGCAAGCAATTCTAATTTGTAGATTTAATGAAATTAATATTTCCATATAATGATTGAGACCATCTTGCTTTACAGCAATTTTATTCATCTTGCTCAAATATAGCTACAAGTCAGTGTGTGGAGCTTCTTGGGTGTGGGGTAATTAGATATCTGGTGCACACAGAACCATTAAGAACTCATATGTTTTACTGCATGCATCAGTTTCCAATGAACCAAGGTCATTTTTCATTACTTTTTATAGGTGTTTTATTCTGTTGGTGTTTTCCCATTCTTTAACCTCTTGTGTTAACATCTGCTCTCAGTATTTATTAATCCAGTCATTATAGTCAATGCATCATAATTGTGAATGGCATTTTCTTACAGGGATCATGAAACAGTAAGTTTGGGGCAAAATAAATTAATCTCAGCGGGTCTGTTGAAGAGTCTGCCCTTGCAAAGTCATTGCCTATTATTGCTTGGAATAAAAGACATTATTAGGTATATGGAACTCAAGGGTTAAGCTATACATTGCAGTGAAAATCTGATTTTAAAAATGAAATGATACAGAAACATAGAAACAGAGCAAGTCAGAAGGGGCCTCCAGACAGCTCTGCTCAGGAGAGTGCCATTTTTTTCTTAGTACAAAGGGAAGTGTTTAAGGCTTTTCCTGGCCTGCATCATTTTCCTGTTCCTGTTCATCTCATGTTCTTTGTCCTGTGAAGTGTGGGGGAATCTCTTTTCCTTAGGTTAACAGTTATCTGGGCAGAGTGATTCGGAATGGACAAATTTCAAAGGAATAGAAGTTAATGATCCCATCTTGCTGGTACTTCTTTGGACAAATTAGCACTCCCAGAAGATGTAGATGTGGACCAGAAAACTATGAAAGAAATTTTCTAGTATGTTGGAGAATAGTCAGTTAGCAATAGCAGTAGTGGGTTGTTTGGTGTTTGTTTGTTCAGCCCTACTATATGTGAGATTCTCTAATCCAAGTTTATTAATTAAAATAGGTGTATAGTCTGGACTGGAGATGACCGAGTCTTCTTCTTCAACCCTACAATGCAGTTGTCAGTATGGGACAAACCTGTGGATCTAAAGAATCGTGGTGATATTAACAAAATCATTGAAGACCCACCTCATAAACGCAAACTGGAAACTTCAGCAAGTAACTAATGCTGTGATTATTTTTGTATATTTAAATTTGAATGATATGTGAAATGATGATCATAAAATTACCAAGTAAAATGCTAAATGACAGTAAAAAAAAATGTTTTCTAACTGCCTTTGAAGCAATATGGAAATAAGAGCTATCAGAGAGCCAAGAATTCTATTTATCTGGATGTTAACAAGTTTTATAAACTAATCCTCAACATGCTTAAATGGAAGCATGCTTCATAGATTTTAATTGAATATACATCTGTCAAAATTGTATTAGAACTGTTAGCTGAAACATGCATTGATAGTTTAACCTTTCATACAGTCATATTTCATTTGTTCATATTAGGAATGTTTTTGTGTAGCTTGTTTTATCCAAATGTCTTATTGACTGTGCTGCTCAGGGGAGCCGACCTGCAATAAATGATTATTTAATCAAGCTTCAGGAAACAAATCTCAAAGACCCATCTTGTTGGAATGATGGAATAATTGGTGGAAATATAGGTCCTTCCATTCAAATATGACATTGTTTGTCAGTCTTCAGACACCAGAGTCTTCTTAAAGACATTCTTGGCTCTAAGGAAGAATGCTAGCTTCTGTGCTCGGATATATTTTAAACTGTCAGAATATATATAAGAAGTAGCAGTAATTCCTTCCTTCAGAGGAGAAGAAAATATCTTTCAACACACTTCTTTCCCTTTTTCAGTTTTTCTGTATAGTCCCACCAAGACCAAACTTCTTTTTTCAGCTTTTTTCAGGCTATTCAAATGGCCTGGAAAACTTCAATATCACCTAGACAATCTATGTGAGTACTAACAGGTGCTTGGATGACCATCCTGATTTTTTGCAATTTTGGGCAGCACCAAAATCTAATTTACTGATTTTAGGGTGTTGTTAAAGTCTAACCAGACTAATGATCCTTCAAACTCAGTTTTGTGTAAACCAGAGATGAGGAGCATGGGACCTCCAGAAGATGTTGGACTGGAAATGTCTATGCTGACTCAGACTGGTGGGTGATTATCTGAAAGGACACATCCCTGATCCCTGCTCAACATCCCTGATCTATACTGACTGATAGTAATTCCCTAGGGCTTCAGTCAGGACTTTCCCCAGCCATTTTTGGAGATGCCCAAGGTTGAATTAGGGGGCCTTCAACATGGCCCTGGGACAGTGTTCAGCTCAGGGACTTAGTTCTAACTCTGTCGTTAAGGATCAACAGCAGGGGTGGGCAATAAGCTATTTTTGATGTTACTGAGATTCTCCAGACATCACTTTGAAGTTCAGTTTACCTTGTTTCCTGTGTTTGATTGTTCCAAATTTGGTTCCAAAATTGTACTCCAAAATAACTGGAGAACACTAGGGTGAGAAAACTGTGCCTGTAAAATCAGGGCAATTATTTAGACAACATCCACTAAGCATTAAATGCTGTGGTGGGTGGGGACAGCGGGTGTTTGGAAAAATCATTATAGTTTAGGATTCATTTATATTAGTTGATCATTTATCTGCAGAAAAACTACTGCCTAATTAATGCATTGTTCTTTTAGTGTAATCCTGGGGTGCTCCCTGCTTCTTCTAGTTTTTATTTGATAAGTTTTATTTAATAAATAAATGATTCAACAAAAGGCTGGCATGCTGCAAATCAAAGTACTGCCCTCTTCATTTGGGAACATAAGAGTTACCCTGTGTTTTAAAACTCAGACCCACCTTCTGCATTTCACTTACCTTCTTGGGAAAATGTCTTTTCTTTTATTATCATCTATGTCCCTTTTAGGGTTTATGCTTTATGACTGCCTGTGGCCCATTGGTGAGGGTGTTCAAGGATAGGCATGTTATGAGAGGAGCAGACTGGAGGCAGGTTTCAGACTAGATGGCCCGGGAGGCCCCTTGTGACTCTGTTTCTATGTTTCTATGCTCCAGCCAATCATTAAGCTTCCTATATAGGTTCCTAAAATATAACTTACCAGTTCTGTTTAATAAACTGATGGGCCTTTAATTTGTGGAATCATCTTGCTTTCCCTTCTTGAATATAGGGGCAATGATGGCACAGCCCAAATCTTCTGGAATCTGTCAAAATAGGAAAAAACAATGCTAGAACTGGGACCCACCATTCCAAGTTGTTTTTAACCACCTCTTGAGGAATCAAATACTTGCCCAGAGCCTTGCCTATTTTCATCTGGGTAACTAGATAATAAATTGCTAAGGTCAGAACCAGGGGCCAAGCATAATATTTCAGGCCACCTGGACATTATCAAGATCTTTGTATAAGTTGTAAAAGTGTTTTTCCCAAACCCTTTGGTGACTATAGGAGTCTAACAATGCTGTCCCTCAGGTTGGAGAGATCTTTATCAACTGCCAGAATATGACTGAGTCTTTGGTCCTTAGATTTAGCTGCTTGAATCAGTTCACTGAGTTCTCCTTCCAGACCTCTTTTGTCTTTTGAATCCATAACTGTTTATAGAATTTTTTTCCTGTTCCTCTGATATATTTCCACCAGCCTAATTGTTTCAGTGTTGGACATTGATAATGCCCTGATGATTTGCATTCTGTCTGATGCCCACCTCAACAGACTCCCCTCGGCAGTTTTGGAGGGACAGTATAAAAAGACCCCCTGGTCAGAGCACATTGGCCCCGTGGTATGGAACTGATAGAAACTACAGAACACATCTTGTTGAGGTACACATTCTATAGGGACATTCATGCTGCACTCATTTCCCCATTGATTAATTGCTTTCCAGGCCATATGGAACAACAATATACCTACATACTGCTGGCTGACACTAATCCAAAGATAATATACAGTGTTGCTAAATTCTTCACAGCCATGATGGGTGTCCAAAGACAGATCCTGAGGGAGTGTGGTCCTACCTAGTTGGACAAAAGACAAAGTCTGGGAATGTCATCTACTTAAGATGACTGATATGAACTATGGTAGTATATTGTGTCGAAGTATTTATTAATCCAACTGGGGTTTTATGACAGACAACCTTCCATGTATTTTCTTCTTTTTAAAATCTATTTATTCAATGGAGCTGGTCTTTGACTGTAATAAAGTTTTTTTTTTCTATCTATCTATCTGCTTGTCCTTGGGTAACAGGAGCAGTGCTTTCCTGAGTACCCTCTTTTCTCTCACTCAGCTCAGTTGTTGACTCTAAGACCAATCCAACCAAGGAAGCTCGAGAGTCTGTCCTATTCATCCTCAATGTGGAATCGACTTGAGAATGTAGCACATCTGGCTTTAAATATTGCCCAGACTTCCTTTGAACATGAGGGACACCAATTTGAAGTATCAAAGGGACTTGACAATCTGTTACTATGACTTCACCGGAGTCTGTACTAAGCTAAATGCTTAGCTTGCTGAATTTTGTTATCCTTCTGTAGGTTCCACAGTAAATATTTGAGAGTTCTGAGTGTGGGTCTCATCCAGTGTCGTTTCTGGGTTCATAAGAGATATTTCATTTATAGCAGATAGATTATACTACTTCCTTTCCAGAGCAGGAAGTGGCCTTATCAGAGTCAACTGCCTTGTCCCCATTGGTGCCTCCATCTCTGGTTCCACTTCTGTGTCATCTGTTACACAGAAGTGAGATACCTATCTCAGATGAGTTTCCAGTACCAAGTTTAGCAATTCTGCTGTCCGATTTTAAACTTGAGTTTATCATTTCTGGACTGGCACTCAGTACTCCCATAGACTTCTCCTAGATCAATGGAGAGTGGAGCAGCCTATGATCCAGCCCAACAGTATCAGCTGGTTTCATATCACAGTCTACATAATTATAAAAAACATCCCAGTTTGGGTTCACACAGCTCATAAGGGCTAGGCTTATCTGTAGTGGAGTCAAGATCTGAGGTATCACCATCTCTCTCCAAAGCCAGATCTTCATGTAATCTAATTCTCCTTGACATTAGTAAGTCAACCAATTAGTTCCTTAATTTTAAGAGTTCATCCTGCTCTTCATGCTGATTAATAGCTGGTCAGTCTTTACTGCCAAAGTTAGACTCCTCCACAGACGTTCAAATCATCAGTGGTGAGGAAGTGCCATTGTTAACCCTTCTGACTCTAGTAAGGGCTCTAACTCCAAACTTTGATGTCAAGCAAAATTCATATAGCTGCAGCCTGTTAGCTTTCTTTTTCCAGGATTTAGGCATGTATTACACTTAAAGCAGATAGTTCAACTTGTTTTCCTCTTGGCATTTCTACTCATTGATTCATTTCTTTAGCAGCCTGATTTGAAAAATTGATATATGGAGTGACCCTATGCCTAGTTGTGTGAGAATCAATTGAACCTGTAAATGCATTCTTTAGCATATAGCATAAGGACAACATAATTTTCCATATTCTCATGCCCCAAATAATTGATAATTCAGACTTTAAAATTTCTGGGAAGCAGCAGATTTCTGTACTAAATTAACTTTTCCTGGCACTAATTTAAAAGGCTATATGCATTATTTCAGGATCTAAAGATACATAGTCATTTTAAAAATTGGTATTCCTCCAATTAGCTGAACAGTTAACCCAAGTGATTGGCATTTCTTTTAAAGTAAGGATTTTTGGAGTTGGGGTTGGAGTTGGGGCATAGATAGTCCCTGAATGCTTGCTTCCATTAATTTAGATCTCTTATATGCTTCATGGAAATTACTTTTAAACTTCTCACCTTCTGCATAAACTTTCTGTTTTATAATTCATTTCACCTCTTTTCTTGAGTCACTCTGACATTAAAAATATTCAACATGGAGGACAAATAAAAGCATTGCTTTGTTTTTGTTTCGTTTTCAGTAAAAGATACTGATCCTATATTCCTGTGTAAGTACACTCAGGAGTAAGTGCTTTTGGGTTTGATGGGCCACATTCTAAGATGAGTGAGCCTATAATTGCCTTTAAAACTCATTGACTTTGATGTCACACTAGACATGTGGAACTGAGCTAAATCATCTCATTTTGATTCAGAGTATGACTAAGTTCTATCTTTTTCCTTCTGTGTTTGTGTGTCTTTGTGCATGTGTGTGCACATGCAAAAAAAGATAGTTTCAAAACTGCAGAAATAGATAACATAACCATAAACATCACACATTTGTGATAAACATCACAATATTAAACAAAATTTATGCCAAAACAGAAATTGATCACTTATTTGAGGTGCCAAATAAATCCAAGAGCCAATAATGATATTTAGTTCAGGCTTGTGATTATTTCACAGTGTCAAATTTAATGACAAAAAGGAAGCTTTTATAGTTCAGCTACTTAAGAGTGTAATAATACAATAAAAAGCCTCTTGTTATAGAAAAGAGCTTCTATCAAAACTTCATGGAGTCAGTGACAAGATAAATATGAAATAATCTTTATTGTTTTACTTTTCTTTTTATTTATTATCAAAAAATGAAGCAATGTCTATACCTTTTGTTTTAAAAAGCCCTGTCAAGCAGAGAGAACTATTCTTTGTTTTAAAACACTCCAAATATTTCTCTGACATGTGGAACTACAAGTTCCATCATACCTAGTCAGCATATTCAGCATGTTCTAACTCACCAAGAACTGTATCATAATGTCAGAGTTCTCTGAAGTGCTTAGAATGAAATAAACAAATAACAGTTGGTCTTTTATTTATTTATTCATTCATTCATTCATTTAAAACATTTTTATGCTGCCCCCATCACAACAAAGCCTTGGGGCAGCTCACAAAAATACACAAAAACATACATAAATAAAAATAAAATAACAACTTAAAAGAAAAAAAAAACATTTAAAAACCCCCGGTGCATTCTCGGCTAATTTTAAAATCCTAATTAATTTTAAAGGCCTAAATGACCTAAAGAGTTACTTTAGAAACTCAATTGGTTCTAAGAAACTTAGAAAAATAAAAAAGTTGATTCATTTATTCTATTGGCAAGTTTGTTGTTTGACTAACCATACCTTTTTCTTTTTAGCAGATAAAAGTGATGGTTCCTATCCAGAGGATACAAATGGTGACAATGGAACCAAAACAAAGAGAAATAAGTAAGTCTTAAGTAAATACTTTTTTCTTGTTGATTTTAGAATCTAGTGCTGTGACAGACATAAATGATTATTTTGCTGTTACCTTATGCCTCTGTTACTTGGCAGATGGCTGAGACGGCACACCAAAACCAGCAACATCAGGATCCCAGCATAAGATGTAATGGCAAACCACAGTTGCAGCAAGCCAGGGTTCATAAACCAACAACAAACCATGGCTTCAAATGGGGGATTTGGCCATTAAAAATATTTGTTTGGATGTTGAAGCAAAGCTCAACTAGGCATAAAAATCCTACCTTGACTTTATATGTGAATGTGGTCATAGATCCAATTCAGCTAAACTATGGATTGTTTTAAATATTTAATCCTGAGTCTGCCAACAAACCATGATTAGTTGGGGGCTGGCAAGCTAGGATCTGAAACTGGTTTGAGTGAACTATGGCTTGTTTGCTTTTATGTTTAAATTATCAGATATTGGCAAACGCATTAGGACCGTTGCTCTATCTGAAAAGACATTAGTTCTATTCAGGTACTGTACCTGAATGGAGCAAACATACAAGAGGCATGGGTTCCTAAATATGGTTAGCAGAAACCATGCTTTTTGGTTAGGTTTGATGCCATATTTATGGGTTCCTAGTTTATAACATATATCTTATTATAAATGTTTTCATATGACACTTTTTGAATTACTTTTATGTATAGATAATAGTAAGTGATAAAATGGTAAGCATAGCTCAATCTAAGAAAAGAACAGGTCAATCCCACAAATATTTACCTTGAAGTATACTTCAAATAATACAAATAATAATACAAATAGCCTTTTTTAATAATGGTGTAATTTCTCTTACTTCATTTTATTGTATACTACTTTTAGGTACAATCATAAAAAACAATGATTTGCTTTGTGAATAATTTTTAATTAACCATATGAAAGAGAGAGAATCTCCTGCTACCTAAGTTGATGAAGTAACTGTCTGGATCTTCACCGATTTCACTGAATGTAAAAGCTCTTTGTGGTTACCAGCAATTGGATTAGAAGTTTCATAGATCATAGTACAGAATATTGTGATTTGGGGCAAATGAAAATACAATGTTCAAGTCACTATTATAATATGAAGAGTGACAATTTGATGTCTCTGGTGCTAACAAATTCTATGCAAAACCCATTTTAGTATAATTTGAGAGTGAAATAGTGTAACAATTGACAATTATTGATGTCAAGATAATATGCTAGAACTCATATTTACGGGTTAATGCAATTTATTAGCTGAAACTGATTTAAACATTTTCCATTTCAACTGTACATTTTTGAACCTTTTGAAAATAAAAATATATTATTTTCAATGGCTAAAAGCTTCTAATCTGGGAGAAATGTAATTAGTTGATTTCACTTGTTGTTCAGGTTGTTTCTTCCACTGAGAATCATGTAGAAACATAATATATTGACCTTCCAAACTTTTTAGGAAAAACGTTGGGAAATTTTTGGTCAGAGATTTGTGCCCCACCCTAGAGACCTGAAGACAGACAAATGAATATTATTTCTTACTTATTAAGAACATTTATGTATAATCTTGTTTCCTAAAATAAAAAGCCATCAAGTTAGTGAACAATAATTTACCTTGTATTTGCTCTGATTTTGAAGCACAGTAGGCTTCAAAAGATGGAAAATGCCTTGTGATAATTTTTGCTGTCAAAGTCTCCCAAAACAAGATATCCTGTAACCTTTCCTCACCTAAACAAATAAGCCACACTACTTCAGACATTTTCCACATGGAGATGGTAAGAAAATATACTCTTTTATCACTGGAGAAGAGAAGGAATTTTCTACTAGATACATCTGAATCAGTCAATGTATCTTGAATGTCCAAGTGATCCGGTAAACTGGATTTAGCACTTCAGCAGCATCTGCTTTCATCTGATAAAACTCCCCTTCAGGTGGGACTATGTGTAGTACTTCCACCTCTAAATTATCATTCTTACCAGCTTCATTCCCTCATCCATTGGGGCAGAAGATCTGGTTATTTGTGAACTCTTCTGAATCTTTCATGCAATATGAAATACTTAAGCACCTGGAATTCTCTAAATACATTTAGCCAAATATGTCAAGATTTTCTCTTCAACCTTTAACCTTCAACACACAGAAGTTGGAATTAATGATATTGGGACAGGGAGAGCATGAGCAAACATACTCTCCTTTTATATGTTGCTCGAACAAATGGAGAAAAGCTTCTGAAATTGACCAAATTAATATTTGAATCAAAGGTGTTTGCTGAGTTTCTTTTCCTTCAAGGGTAAATTTTATTCTGGAGAAGTTCTTTTGAGCCATATTGTAGTAGTGGGCAGCATCAAAGACAGAAGGGACAGGGCCAAAAATGATGACATATTGTATCTTAAATTACTATCTCTTAGCAACAGAGCCCCAGAGTAACTGTTTCAGTATTTTAGGATTGAGGGGAAAAAGTGTACTGATCTGGACAAAAGAAGGGGAATGGCCATCTGTAGAATTCAGAAAGTCCAGAGATGACCCTCAAAGCTGAAGTTCTGCACTCCCACTTTAATGTCTTAAAAGAATTGGGAAAATTCTTGGGAAAACTTTCCTATTAGTTGAAAAGCTTAGTAGCTGCATGCATCACATTTTAACATGGCCAATGAATTTATTTGCTACTTTTATTTAGCTAGTTGCTTCTCTGAGCTTGTAAAGATAAGGAAGAGTTAAAAGATACATTTCATCCTGCATATCTCTTACATTATTTAAGACTAGAAGATCCTCAGAATGCTAAACTAGGCAAGTTCAAAGGGGAAGAGAAAACTGTGAAAACATCAGAACATCAGATTATGCTTTCATTGGAAGAACGTATTACCCATTTTCGAGATATGCTTCTGGAAAGACGGGTAAGAAATAAGCCAAGATTGGTTGGATTCTGGTAATGTATGAGAGCATGCTATAATCTCCGGATTTGTAATGGGCCTGTTGCAACCTGCTAATATATTGTGCTGTCCAAGAAATGCTTTTCTAATATTACATTCTTATCAACATATATGATATACTGCTGTTTGTTGTACAAAATATTAAGTGAAGTAAAAGACACAATATGAATGTGATTCATGTCCAGATTATTTATATTCTACTTTAAAAGCCTGTTCCTATGCATGTTTGCATATGGTTAATATATTACTGTCTTAGTATGCCATTCCTGTAACCCAACAGATACATGCTGTAATTGTACCCAGTTATGTGCAATGCCAGTTTCTTCAGTAGACTTTGTTTGGCTAATCCTAAATGATTACTCCATTCTTATTTCTAAATTGTTTATTTCTGTTTTATTTATATTCACAGATTGCTTTGAAGACAAGGTTTACATATTTATTCCATATTCACTAAACACATACCAGAAAACTTGTTTGAAAAATGGAGTAACCATTCAGATTCTCTAGATGCATATTCATAGATGGATGGCAGTTTTGGGCACATTCAAAAATAGCAGTTGTCCCACATCTAGAAATGCAAATTTAGCTTCTGTTAAAGTCCATGAACAACTGTTGCTCTGTGACAGCAAAAACACATGTGAATCATGTGACAGGCACTTTAAAACATAAATAATTCTGGTATCTAGTAGATGCAGATCTAGATGCAGCGATAGTCAAGAGCATTCTTAGCATAAGGTCAGGAGGCCTGGAAATGCAGGGAATGTGTGTGTCCTATTAATACGTACATATCCAGATGCAATCAAAATCCATTAAATTTCTATCCTGAATAACAGTTCTGAAGAACTCAAAAATTATTTTGTGATATGTTGCTTTATAATTGATTTTGGATGTTTTTCATCCTAATGGACTAACTTTACTATCTGTGTCTTATGTGCCGCAGGATGAATAGTATACACAGAAACCTTTGCTGAGAATCAGTTACTTTCCATAGTGAGCTAGTTACTTTCAGTAACCCAAAGAGTCTGATGTTTGATTTAAATGGACCTATGATATATTAGCAGAAACAAGTATTTTAAGGGCCACTAGGAAAAAAAAACCATGGTAATGGAGTGAAAATGGAATAAATTATGCATTGGAGAATGGCTCAGCTGCAGAATAAATACCAAGATTTCTATAGATTCTGCCACCCCTTCTTATTCCTTGTTCTCTCTGATCTTAGCAGCACTCATCAGAGTCCTGGAAAATGATATTTCCAGAAATAAACAGTTGCGGGTTGTCCCTGCTATAACTGAAAGTAACTTGTGGTGGCTTAGTTCTGAACGGTTTCTTAAGACCCATTAAGCTTTCAAACCATGTCCTGATCCTGGTAAAGATGAAAACTGCCAGAGCTGGTTTGCATAGCTCCGGGTACTGTCACAGGAACATCTGCACTTCAACATTTACTACTACAGCACTGATTGAGTGCTTGTGGATAAAGCCAGCCCTCATGATTAGGTCAAATGAGGAGGAAAATGACAGGAGCTGAGAAATAGTGGGAAGCTGTATGTATATGAGTCCGGCTTTGCACCTCCAAGCAGCCTTGTTGTCCTTGGGTGCAGTACATTGCATAACCAGCACTGAAGTAAAATTCAGTTGTCATTTGACTTCTATGTATTTGGAAGAAGGGCATCTTGTCCTATCTCTTAGGTAGCAAAATTCTTTGTTGCCTCTGTTTGTCAAAAGGAGGAAGAACAGAAATAGCTAGAGATGTGGAGTTTCGACATTAATTACTGACTTGTTTCCTGCATAAGTTGGCCTTAGCTTCAATCTAAGGATGCACACACTATGTTCAATCCCTTCCATCTGCATTTCTTGGATTGTCATGAAACTTTATTCCATCATCTGTTCATTGATGCAGCTGGATTTTGTGGAAATGCATTTGTATGCATTTGGGCAAATTTGCACTTCCTCAGATTTGCACTTTCTTGAATTTGCACTTCCTGTAATGTAAGATCCCCTTAAATATGCACATTCATATGAATCATGCATTTTCTTATTTTATTCTATGGGAGGAAATGTGCACTTTTGGACAGTGCTTTGTCCTTTAGCTATTTTTTATTTTCCATGAATAACTTTCTAAAAATTCTGAAATGTGGGCCTCAATTCCCTAGAATCTGTGTGACTCAACAAAAAATCGGTCTGTTGTGGAATCAGGTTGAATTCATACAAATCCAGACATTTATATCCTTGCAGATTTTTCCTACCTGTTAATAATATTTAATGAATCTCTTTTCTTGTTATAGGAAGTATACATTTTCTATACTGTTCTCTAGGTCCCACACAGTGTTCTCCTTTTGATACTAATTCCTAGGACAAAGACTGATTTCTTCTGCCTTAATTAATTGCATTATGTTGAATACTGTTGCTTGCAACATTTCTGTAATACATCAGTTTTATCACTCAGACAGTTATGCCTTAATCCAGGTTTATTACCTAGCCTTCAGGATGTCGTCTATATCTTTTCTATTCTGATATTCCTTCAGGTCTCTGCATTTTCCACATGGGAAAAAGAGTTACACAAAATAGTATTTGATCCACGTTATCTTCTACTAAACTCAGAAGAACGTAAACAGGTGAGTTTATTTTCGGCATTTGTACAGGTCACTGTATAACATGTTTCTTTAAGAAACTTGCAAGCACAATATGCAATATTAAAATACAATATAAAACAATGAATGGTAGCATAAAAATTATCAAAAAAATAGAAATAAACCAAATTACAGCATGGGTAAAAACACAAAACAGCAAATAAACAGTGGATTGCAAAAAATGGGAAAAACCCTAGATAAATGTATTTACTAAAGTGACCATACAGAAGGCATCAGCCTACCCAATTTAGGTAAGAAATTACACAACCCAGGTGCCACCACCCAGAAGTGAAACTTCCTGGTAGCCATATGCTCAAAGTTTCTTAATAATTTACTTTGTTTTTTGGTTCAGAGACAATTCACATTTTACTTTTTAAACACAGGTACATAAGTACCAAAGATGAATATGATATAAATGTGACAAAGCTTTGTGTTCCTGGTTACATGATAAAAGGATGAACTAAGGAGGGGGTGATGTATTTTTTTCACTGGAAGGACAAACTAAAAATGTAAGTACCTAAGTAAACACACATGGCATTCACAGTTCATTAACAGAAGCAGATTGTAGATGTCCATTGTGGGGAAATGAAGTGTAGTGAAGAATGGCATTATGCCAGCAGGCCTGCCCTCAGGTCTACATGTGCACAGTATAATGTACATAGAAAGCCCAAGCACATTTCTGTGTGGCACTCTAGAGATGCTGCAGTGAAAAACGATGTAGCCTCAAGAACAGCAATCTCTTAAGATGCAGGCGAGAATTTCTTTAAAAAAAAACTTTTTTCTTTACTTTCTCTTTGACCTAGACCCCCCCCCCCCCCCTTTATTCCTTTTTTTTCTTCCTGGTAATGCCGTACCATTTATTTATTTATTTATTTATTTATTTATTTATTTCCATTTCTATGCTGCCCCATAACCCAAAGTTTCTCTGGACAACTTACAAATGCTAAAATGGCATAAAAACATACACAAAATACAATAAAACAGTTAATCATTTAAATAGGTTAATATTAAAATAATAGATAACATCTCATAATAAATATACCCAGACACTCAAACACAGTCCAAGTCAGAGCAAAAATGAGCGATTTTGCCCACAAAATGTCACACAAATTCATCACAGGGGTTGCTGAGGGTTCAATGATATCTCCTTTGGGGCTGGAGTGTAGAAGACCCCAAAGCACCCAGAACAACTCTGCTGGGTTGCACTCCTAGGACACGATAAAAGTGGAATAAAAATGTCTCTTAGTTACCTTCACCACCATGGAATAGGCTTGATAATGTGCACTAAGCCATGTTCAGTCAGATTTAGCCCGAGTTCCCCTCCACCTGAGCGATAGCCATCTTCCCTTCCGCTTCATCACCCTCAGCTCAGATGTATAGCAAGGAGCAGGTCAGGCTCTGTGAGGGGGGAGAGGCCACTTGGGGGCAACCATGTCAGCTGTCTGGGTTATCTCTTTATGCCCCAGGGAGGCTTGGGCTTGACAGGAGCACCTACCATGCTAGCCTGAAATCCCCCCCAAAGTCTTCTGGAAACCTGCAGGATCCATAGGACTCCAAGGGCAGACCCACCTAATGTATCCTCCACTCATGCAGAGGGAAGAGGAAGCTGAAAGTTCAAACCTCAAGAGGAAGTGATCTGACCATGACAGGGGGGTAGTTGCTGACCCCCAACCCTCAGATCACCATTATCCTGCCTAGAGAAAACCAGGTCCAGAATGTGTCCCTTCTTAAGCATTGGACTGGTGACATTTTGAGACAGCCCCATGGTTATTATGGCTTACATGAAGTCCTGGGATACCCCAGATAAGTCAGCCTCAGCAGGAAAGTTGAGGTCACCCAGGACCAACACCTTGGGGGTCCTCAACAGCAGGTCTGAGATGAAATCTGTCAGCTTAGGCAGGAATTCCACTGGGTAGTGGGGTTGTCAGTGAACCAACAGAATCCCCAGTCCATCTCAATCACCCAACTCTAGGTAAAGACACTCAAGACCTGGTGGACAGGAAGCCTGCAGAGAATCCTTAAGAACTAGAGTGACCACCCCTCCACAGCCCTCCAGACAATGCTGGTGCTGTACCAAGTGCCCAGGTGGGCATAGCTGGAAGAAAGGTCAGGTCGGGATCTTCAGTCACAATTAAATTGTGGATCAGTTTACTGTGCTGTTCATCTTCAGGGAAGACAGAGGGGAGCATAAGTGAAGCACTTTAAGATTTCAACAGAGAAGAAAGCTCAAGCAGGGCCTAATCTCAGTCCCCAAAGCAGGTAGAAAGAAAACCAGGGCATAACAAAAAACTTTGATGTCTATACACCAGTGCCTAAACAACATGAAATTCTGCTCATAGCAATTATGATCTTATAGGAATAACTGAAACTTGGTGGGATAACTCACATGACTGGGAATCTACCATTAGAATCATAGAATAGTAGAGCTGGAAGGGTCCAGAAGGCTATCAAGTCCAGCCCTCTGCTATTGCAGGACACAATGTTACACAATCCCATTTAGTTGACTGCCCAAGTGCTTTTTGAATGTCTCCGGTGAGGGAGAGCCCGCATCCCCTGCAGGTAATAGGTTCCATTGTCTTACTGCTCTGACAGTGAGGGATTTTTTCTTGGTATCTAGTCTAAATCTGATTTCTTTTAACTTGAGACCATTATTCCATGTCCTGCACTCCAGAAGGAACAAGAAGAAAACTTGTCCTTTCACTTTGTGACAGCATTTGAGGTCCTTGTCATATCTCCTCTCTTCCTGAGGCTGGACATGCCTAATTCTTTAATTCTAATTCAAAGGGCTTTGCCTTCAGTCCCTGAATCATCCTTGTTGCCTTCCACTGTACACTTTCTAGCTTGACTACCTCTTTTTTGAATTAAGGTGCCCAGAACTGGTCACAGTACTTCAGGGTCTGACCAGTGCTGAGTATAGGGGAACTAGTAGTTCATGTGTTTTGGAATGAATCTCAAAATAAAATTTGTCCCTTTTGCAGCTGCATCACATTGCTGGCTGATGGTTAACTTGTGATTTACAACAACCTCAAGATCCTTCTTATTTGCAGTAATGTTGAGCCCAGTATTGCACACCCCTAACCCTAATATAGGGGTAAATAACATTGAAAATAATGCAATTTTGAAAAAGCCTTCCTTGAGTAGCTTTTTCTGTTCAGCTCAACATTTCTGCCCCTTCTAAACACATTCCAACCTCATTTTTCTAGCCCTAACCCAGTGATGGTGAACCTTTTAGAGACCAAGTGCCCAAACTGCAACCCAAAATCCACTTATTTATCGCAAAGTGCCAACACTGCAATAAAACCTGAAAACTGAGGTTTTACTTTAGATAAAACAACTCACAGCCAGTGAGTTATATATACTTGGCAGTGCACTCTCTGGCCATGAGAAAGCTCACATGAGTCATGGCTAATGTATTGTGGCTTGTGACATCATCGCCTGGCACCACTACTCTTTTTTCAACCATGCACATCACCTCGATATATGCTGTTATCCGATGCTCAGCTGCTGGGGTGACTTGGCTCATGTGCCAACAGAGAGGGCTCTGTGTGCCCGCTGTGGCGCCTGTGCCATAGGTTCACCACTACTGACCTAGATACAGGCTAGATATCAGGAAATGTTTCCTCACTGGCAAAGCAATATGACAGTAGACCTGTAGTCTTGAGAGGTCATGGTCTCCCCTACACTAGAGTCATTCAAGGCAAAACTGGTCAGCCATCTAAGTGGGATGGTGTAATTTGGTGTTCTGCACCATCAGGGGGTTGGGTCCACTTACCTTCTTGGCCCCTTCCAACTCTACTGTGCTATGATTCTATTATTTAAGATGTACTCTATCCTAAAGTTATAAAGTAGCTGGCAGATGAATGTTCAGAACCACTTTTTACTATATTTGCAAAATCTGTTTGGTCAGTCTGGCATCAATCCCTGGGAAAAATTTGGAGCAGAAAATAAAGCAGTCAATCTGCAAACAGCTACAAAATAATGCAGTGATTACTAGAAACCAACATGGATTTCTCAAGGACAAATCCTGCCAGGCTAATCTGATTTCATTTTTTGATTGGATAACCTACCTGGTTGACTGTGGGAATACTGTGGTCACAATCTATCTTGATTTTAGTGAACCTATATTTAGGTTTTGACAAAGTGTCCCATGGTATCCTGCTTAGCAAACTAGCTAAAAGTGGACTAGATGGAACAATGTTCAGGTGGATCCACAGTTGACTACAAAAATGAACTGAGTGCTCATCGCTGACACCTTCTCAAATCAGGGGGAGGTAACAAGTGGGGTGCCTCAGGGTTCAGTCCTGTACCCAGTGTTCTTCAACATTTTCATTAATGACTTGGATGAGGAAATGCAGGGAATACTTATTAGAGCTGCGGATGATACAAAACTGGATGGGCTAGCTAATATGTTGGAAAAGAGAAAGAAGATTCAAGGTGATCTTGATAGGTTGAATCCCCAGACTGAAAACAACAGAATGAAATTCAATAGGGATGAATGCCAAGTTTTGCACATAGGAAAAAGAAACTGTTTGCATTTTTACAAGAATATTTGGGAGGTACTTGGCTCAACAATACTGTAAGTGAGAAGAATCTTGGAATTGTTGTAAATCACAAGCTGAATATGAATCAACAATGTGATGTGACTGCAAAAAGGGCAAGTGCTATTTGAGCTGCATTAATAGACGTACATTTCCAAATCACCTGAAGTACTAGTTCCCCTTTACTCAGCACTGGTTAGGCCTCATCTGGAGTACTGTTTCCAGTTCTGGGCACCACAGTATAAGAAAGATGCAGACAAACTGGAAAGGATTCATAGGAAGGCAATAAGGATAATCCAGGGACTGGAAACAAAGCCCTATGTGGAAATATTGGAAGAACTGGGCATGTTTAGCCTGAGAAGAGAAGACTGAGGTGGAATATATTGTATACTCAAGGACAACAACTATGAAAATAATATTTCACCTCTTCTTTTATACAGAAAATTA